TGTCTCTTTAATATGAATACTAAATTTTATACTCCTTTTTATCTGATATAATTTATTGGAACCGATTAATCTCTCATGCTTAAGGTATTTCTGACTTTTAGTTATATTAATTAGAGTATTTTAGCTGAAATATGAGATTTAGTAATACTCATTAGGTTAGTATTAGTATTTGACAGATATTTTGTAATATCTATGAATGCATTTTTTGATAAACTTCTGGTTTATTCTACTATATATTTGAAGATCTATATTTGATAATAATAATGCATTCTATATATTATCTTTTTTAGCCACTCAATTTCTCCTTCTCATGCTGGGAAAATTTTGTTCATGGTGGAAAAACTTTATTGCATGATAATCAATTAATCATATAATATAGTTAAGTTCCTAAATTATTTGTTCATTTAGAAAATCCTTTCATTTCATTTAGAGATAAGGAGGAGATTCTTACTCAAACATATATCCTAATTTTCTTTAAATATCCATCTATATGCATTGTAGAGGGTCTAGAATAGTAATAAATATTGCATATTTAAACTTTTAAGATGGAAATATTTGGCTTCTGACCAAAATCCAATTTTTATTAGAAGAATTCGTTGGCTTGATATGTATAAGTGCTATAAAAATTAAACCAAATATGCCAATACTGAAATGAAGATATTGTTCTCAAAAGTATTGATCTAGCTACTCTTGTAAGGCTTTAGGAACTTTAATAAATTATTTGATTTTATTAAGTAGGCCTTTTAACAATTTTTTGATAAATATATGATAATCATTCAAAAACAAAGATATAACCTCATTAGTGTTTGCGATAGAAATTTTTTGGATCGCACTTTTCTGAGAATGTGCACTCAACATATATAATGTTTTGCTCAATTAGGCTTGCAAACTCTAGATTGCAAACTAATAATAACATATGTAACCACCTTATAGATGCATATATTAAATTTACTAAATACTTGTGTGATTTATATATACTACTTGTGTGGACCCATATATAAATTTGATATGTTTTCATAAATGTAGAGATCCGTTCCACATCATAAACTAGTGATATCAACATAATCAATTTTTCTTTGAGAATAAGTAGTATGAATTCTTGAATCATATAATATGTTGGCTATTTATGAAGAATCTTTGGTTCTTCAATGAATGTCAATACATAATTATTAATAATTGTTACATCATATATAGTATTCATGATAATCAAAAAGTCACACTAACTATAAATCTAATTGGACGAGTAAACTTCTGGTTTACTGTAACAAGTTTCTTATATTAGTAAAACTTTATTCAACATCAATTTACACTTGTATTTCAACAGTTTCCTCCTCCTCATGTGTGAGTCATACAAATATGTTTTCCTTATTATTAATGTATTTCAAAAACAGTGACTACCATATAATAGGCCAATAACCTCACTTACTTGAAAGTCTAAGTACTTCCTAGTTCATATATAATTATGGATTTTAATTCAATTGATCTATACTTTTCAGACTCTTTGGAGAATGAAATTCTGATGTAGATGGGTCATGGGTCTATTTTTTTACCATCAATTCTTATCCACTCCTAAAAAAAATATGTATTAGTTCTTCAGAAACTATATTAATATTTTTACACGTAGTTCTTCAGGAACTAAGTAATTTGAGAAGAATAAGGAGACAAATTGATGCAGATTTAATTTAACTAATTAATTATTTTTATTATTGTTTATTTTGTTAATTATTTCTGTATTTTAGATCGTGGGTAGTTACTCCACTCCCCCACTTCCCCACTCCCCTCATTTTATTTCTTTTATTTATTTATTTCTTTCTTTTATTTATAGTTTAGGGTTTCAGTTTGTAATCAGACTTGGCATTTTAGAATTTATTGATCAGTTTTTCTCCCATTCTCCCTGCTTCTCTGCTTCTCCTCTCTCTTCTTCCTCTTCTTCTCTAACTTCTCATCCCTTCCAATCCTTTCTTGTTCTACGTCAATTTTGGCATCAGAGCCTGGTTGATTGCTTCATTCTACTTTTTACAAACTCATTTTTCAATCCCCAAACATGCCCTTGTTGCAAAAACCACCCACAACCGCCGCCCCTTCACCATGTTTGCTCATTTCGGACGATCGTTCACCGCGCCGTCACTTTCATTCTCACCGTAGGCAACATCGTCCGTCAGATCTCAAGGTTTCACAACCAAAAACCATCGGAAACAGCCTCCATGATCCAACCAAACTCCCTCTGCGCAACGTCACCGTAGGCGTCACTTTGGAGGCCCAGTTCTCACTCGTCGGGCATCCGATCAGCGTGAAACAAACAACACCATAAGTCTGCCTCGAGGAAGGCGGCCTGTTCCCTGCGTTTCACTAGTCCTCCACGCGCCATCATAGTCTCTAAGTGTGAGATCCACGCGCCTCCGTGCTTCTGCAGTCCAGATTCGGTTTTTTAGCGAAAATTACACATTTGACCCATATTTTTCCAGAAAATTTCGAATTCACCCCATATTTTGAAATTTTGCAGTCTGACCCAATCATTCGAGGAAATTACACTTCTGGACCCAGATTTTGTCAAAATTTTCATTCAGCCACATAATCATTTAGACACTTTGGGGTAATTTCTAGTCTCTTTTAGAAATGTAAGGTAAGCCAATTGACCCTCTCTTGAACTTACTGGACTAGTTTGACATATTGGAGGTTACTATTTGCTTTTTCCATTTTATTGATTATTATTTACTGTATTGGCATTTCCATTTGTTTAATTTGGTTATATTATTAAAAAGAAAGAAAAAAAAGAGAAAAGAAAAAAAGAGAAAAAGCAGAAGGAACAGAGATTTGATTTATTTCTCTATTTTTTTAGACATTTTTATTTAGATTATTCTTATGTAATCTTTAGCATTAGCTAGCTCATTATTTGTTGTTAGCTTTCGTCTATCTATTGCATAACTATTCGTGATATTTGAAAATAGACAGACACCTTAGACCAAGCACTTCAATCTTTAGAACCTCGTGTTAGCTCCTTTCAATCCCAAATGGACCAGAGACTTCAGACCTTTGAACTAAAACTGAATGAACTTACCAAATGCCTTAAGGATCTCTTGGCCGAGATTAAGCAAGAATATAACTCCCAGTGTCAGGAGCTTAGAACCACTACTCAGGAGCTTGAGGTAGCTAATAAGAGCTTAGGACCTCCCAGTAGGAGATTAGGGATTCTCTCCTAAGGATTAATAGGCAGGTCTTTTAATAAGGGTGCAGAATGGATTCTTGGAAATGTCCTTGAGACCAATCAAGCGCACCTTAAGCCCGACACCGTTGGACCATCTCACACTAGAGGCTCCCAACTGTCTATAGGTCCGCGTAACTCGCAGACTAAACCCCTACACGTTGAGACCCTTCCCCCACAATTCGAGGAAGAGGACAACCCATGGGATGAGCAAGGGAGAGAGGGCTCGCTACGAATCCCATGTTGCAAACCGACGCCTATGGAGGATATGCCACGCGCCCTAGGTATGGACGAGAGCCGTCGCCACCCAGACGATACCGAGACACCCCTCGGCAAGACTGATGCAACGATAGAGGTAGAGTGAAAGGGAGGCGACTGACTTTGATGGACGTTTAGACGCGAATGCCTTCTTTGATTGGTTAGCCACCATGGACGACTACTTCGAGTGGTACAATATGAGTGACATATAGCGTGTTCGTTTTACCAAGATGAAGCTCGTAGGATCTACAAGGAAGTATAGGCAGTGCGTCCAAGTGAACCTTGAACGCTTAAGGCAACCTCCTATCACTACTTAGGAGGAGATGAAGTTGAAGCTTAAGGAAAAGTATGTGCTAGTCAGTCACTGAAGCACGCTTTTCAACCAATTGAACAGCCTCAAGCAGGGAACCTTATCGGTAGCCGACTACGTCTCTTGATACGATGACCTTCTGATCCGCAATGACTTAAATGAGCCGAGTTTTGTGGTTATTAAGAGGTTCATCAGCGGCCTTAGGGATGACATACAGAGGGAGCTCAGAGTAAACCATCCTTACACCTTAGAGGAAGCATATCATAAGGCTATCGACATTGACTCCCTACCTAAGTATCCCTCCTTCAGGAGTCCCAGCTTCTCTGGATTAGAATCTCGTTTAATACGCAGCTCTGCTGTTTTGGCCAATCAACGGGTAAGTCAACAACTTTCAAGGCCAAGCGATTCTAGACCAAGAGAGTCATCAATCTCAAATGCTCGCAGGTAGCTCATCAATAGAGTGTTTCAAGTGGTCACTCTAAGGGACATATTGCTTCAAAGTGCCCGCAACGTGTGTTGCTTATCGAATCTCAAGATGATGCACTACTCGAGAGCGAGCCAATGTCATCATCGACCCTGTCGATATTCCTTCTGATGTGGACGAAGAAATTAATTAATGTGATGACATGCTATCAGGTCATCTTGGAGTGATGCGATGCCTCCTGACTGTCCCAATGCCAGATGACTCATGGAAACGGAACAACATCTTCCACACCTTCGTGAAGTGCGGTGATAAGTCATGCAAGTGGTTATTGATAGTGGAAGTGAAAGGAACGTGATCTCTAGTCGAGGTGTGCTCGTCTTAGACTTAAGACAGAGCAAATTGCTAAGCCTTTAGAGTTGCGTGGGTCGACAACACTTCATTGCTTATCACTCAGCAATGTCGTGTCCCACTCCATTTGGGCTACTACAAGGAAGATGTTTTGTGTGTCGTGATCCCTATGGATGTGTCTCACATTCTTTTAGGACGCCCGTGGCTATATGACCATGATGTCACTATCCAGGGCCGAGCAAACAACCACATCTTCAAGCATGAGGGCAAGACCATCTTACTTCGTCCTGTGAAGCTTGAGCCTAAAGCAAAGGGTCCAGCCCCCACGAAAGGATCCACCTCTAAGCCTATCAACCTTCACCTCCTTACGGAGAAGCAGTTCATCGAAGAAAGTAGAGAGGTTGATGTCATCCTTGCCGTTGTTTCCAAAGTCCTCTCTCCTCCTACACCAACACCTGACAGCCTTCCAAAAGAAGTGACCCAACTCTTGGATGAGTTTAAAGATGTTACACCTGAGGAGTTACCTCCTGACTTGCCACCCATGAGGAACATCCAGCACGCGATCGATTTGGTTCAGGATCACAGCTCCCCAGCCTTCCACACTATAGGATGAACCCTAAAGATCGGGAAGAGCTCAATCGTCAGGTTAACGGCTTGCTTGAGAAGGGCTATATCCAGCATAGCCTCAGTCCTTGTGCTGTCCTTGCCCTTCTGACTCCAAAGAAAGACAGCTCGTGGAGAATGTGTGTTGATAGTCGAGCCATCAACAAGATAACTGTCAAGTATAGGTTCCCGATCCCTAGGTTAGAGGACATGCTTGATTTAGTATCTGGATCTAAATGGTTCTCCAAGCTCGATCTTCGCAGTGGTTACCATCAGATTCGAATCAGACTAAGAGATGAGTGGAAAACTGCGTTTAAAACGCAAGATGGACTATAGAGTGGCTCGTTATGCCATTTGGCTTAACAAACGCCCCGAGCACATTCATGTGAGTAATGACGCATATGATGCGGTCCTATCTAGGAAAGTTCGTGGTTGTCTACTTTGATGACATTCTGGTTTTTAGTAAGTCCAGAGACGACCACTTGCATCACCTTAGACAGGTGCTTCTGACCCTTCGGAAGGAGAAGTTTTATCTCAACCTACCAAAGTGCTCCTTCCTACAGAATCAAGTTACGTTTCTCAGATTCATTGTCTTGGAACAAGGCTTATCTGCAGACCCTGCAAAAGTCCGAGCTATTCAAGATTGGCTAGAACCGCAGACACTGCAGGAAGCACGTAGCTTCCATGGGCTTGCATCCTTCTATCGACGTTTCATCAGAGACTTCAGCACACTTATGTCTCCAATTACTGACTGCCTGAAGAAGGATAAGTTCAACTGGACTCCCACGGCCTCCACAGCTTTCAGCACTATTAAGAAGAAACTCTCGAGTGCTCCCGTCCTGGCTTTACCTGATTTCAACAAGTGCTTTGAAGTTGCTTACGATGCATCCGGGTTTGGGATTGGAGGCGTTCTCAGCCAAGAAGGCCACCCTGTCGCCTACTTCAATGAGAAGCTCAATGAGGCCAAGCAAAAGTACTCCACGTATGACAAAGAGTTCTACGCCATTGTTCGCTCTTTGGAGCATTGGAAGTACTACCTCCTTCCTCAACAGTTTGTCATATACTCAGACCACCAATCTCTCAAGTTCCTTAGCTCCCAACGGTATTTGAATGCCAAACATGCCAAGTGGAGCGAATTCATTCAGGAGTTTACCTTCGTGGTCAAGCACCACCCAGGGGTAGAGAACAAAGTAGCTGATGCTCTTAGCCGAAGAATCCACGTTCTCAACACTCTGACGGTTAGTGTCGTGGGCTTTGATAGGCTCAAGGATGAGTACACCTTGTGTCCTGACTTTGGTATCATTTATAACGAGGTTAAAGATGGCAACCGCCACGATCATGTGGATTTCCTTATCGATGATGGCTACCTGTTCCGTGGGTCAAGATTGTGCATTCCCCACACGTCACTACGCGATTTTCTTGTTTGGGAATTGCATAATGGAGGATTAGCAGGACACTTCGGTGTTCAGAAGACTACAGCCCTAGTTGAAGATAGGTTCTATTGGCCTTCCCTTAAGCGTGATGTTGCTCGAATCCTTTCCCAGTGTCGTACGTGCCATACGGCTAAGGCAAAGAAGAGGAATACTGGATTATACACGCCTCTTCCTATTCCTGAGGCACCTTGGAAGGACATTAGCATGGATTTCGTGCTTGGGTTGACAGTGAGAGGGCACGAATCTATCTTAGTTGTGGTTGATAGATTCTCAAAGATGGCACATTTCATTCCGTGCAGTAGGACTACCGATGCATCACATCTGGCAAAGCTTTTCTTTCGAGAGGTTGTGCGTCTTCACGGATTGCCTACTACGATTGTCTCTAATAGGGATGTCAAGTTTGTCAGCTATTTCTGGAAGACCCTTTGGAAGCTCTTCGGGACACAATTGAAGTTCTCGTCTGCTTTCCACCCTCAGACTGACAGACAGACTGAAGTAACTAACCGTAGCTTAGGTGACCTACTCCGTAGTTTAGTTGGTGATAAGCCTGGTAACTGGGATTTAGTCTTGCCTATAGCTGAATTTGCTTACAATAACTCGGTCAATAGATCCATTGGCAAAAGCCCATTCCAAATTGTTCAGGGTTACAACCCAAAGCAGCCTATTGACCTTGTTCCCCTTCCCCTGTATGCTTGCCCTTCTGAGTCCGCCGAGACCTTTGCACATCGCCTTCATGATATTCATGCTGAGGTTAGGCATAAGTTAACTTTAAATAATGACAGGTATAAGATAGCTGTCGATGTCCATCAACGTCACCAGGAGTTCGATGTTGGCGACCTTGTCATGGCTCGCATACGGCCTAAGCGTTTCCCAAAGAGGCCTTACAAGAAGCTGCATGCCCGTGCTTCTGGCCCGTTTTGCATTTCCAAGAAGTTAGGGCCTAATGCATATTTATTAGAGTTACCTCCAGATATGGCTATCAGTCCAGTATTTAATATTGAGGATCTTGGTCCTTATCGGGGCACTTTCGAGCCGCCCCCTTTGTTTTCTAATGATGCTGCAGGTACCCGGACCCACCAAGCCCCAACTCCACCGTTGCCTAAGGTTGCGCCACCCGCCCAAGCCATTGACACCGTGATGGATGAGCAGACGATATCCACTCCAGCAGGTCCCATCAGTCGTTACCTCGTTCGTTGGAAAGGCTACAATGATGCAGACACCACGTGGCTCATTGAGGATGAATTCCGTCATATAGACCCCGCCTTCCTTGATGACTTCCAGCTGTCCAACTCTCCAGTGGCGAGTTCTTCCAACCCGGGGAGAAATGATGCAGATTTAATTTAACTAATTAATTATTTTTATTATTGTTTATTTTGTTAATTATTTATGTATTTTAGATCGTGGGTAGTTACTCCACTCACCCCATTTCCCCACTCCCCTCATTTTATTTCTTTTATTTATTTTATTTCTTTGTTTATTTATAGTTTAGGGTTTCAGTTTGTAATCAGACTTGGCATTTTAGAATTTATCGATAAGTTTTTCTCCCATTCTCCCTACTTCTCCGCTTCTCCTCTCTTCTCTAACTTCTCATCCCTTCCAATCCTTTCTTGTTCTACATCACAAATTCAGCTTAGATTTAACTTGCAATATACATACATATATATATATATAATTTACACCTACTGCAAACATGATTTTGTCCAACCAATCAAAATCAATATCAACTATTTATAATAAATTTTCTCATAAAGTTAAGCAACTTTTCATTCTCTCAATTTAAATGTGACATAAATATGTGATTTTTATTTTTCTCACAAATGTTACAACAAGACTGATTCAATTTAAATATATAAGATCAATGATTCATCATTTCAAAAAAAAAATTAAGAATTAACATGCCTCTTAACGTTAGAATAGAGGAATATAAATATCCAATTTTCTTTTATGTTATTTCAAAACATTTAAAACTTCGAAGATTAAATGATATTTAAACTAATCCAACATCCATAAAATTTTCTTAAAATTATAATTATTATTTGCATATGCTTAATTTCTTTTCATAAGCAAACTTATATAGCTGAAAGGAACATAAAATGTAGATGATCCTTTAAAATAAACTTTCTGAGAATAAAGTGTAAAATTAAATGTATTGTTCAGAATTTTTTAACAATAATCAAGATACCATATGCTACTTACGATTCTAATTATAAGACCTTATTATAATCCCTAATTATAACACCTCGTTTGTAGACTATAAATGAGGTCTTATAATTAGGACCCGAGGTAATATCATTTATTTAATTTGCAACATTCAAAATATGTCATTTGGAAAAATACTTGCATATTATATAAATGTTTAATTTTTCTTTCTCAACTAATTTCTTATTTAGTCAAATTCAAAATAACTTCAAATACTAATAATAAAATTTATTATCAATAAATCATAATAAACCATTCAAACTAATATTAAATAAGATCATATGAATAGGATATAAATTAACAAGATATGAATAATATATCATTTATTTAATTTTCACACAAAGGGCACAATAAAATATCAATATCCTAATATAACCATCTTTTAGGCTATTCTATTAATATTGTTAGATATGATAATTAGTTTTGATGATGTCATGTAATAGAGCAAAAAGTTTACATAAATTATTTATCTCATATTTTGACTAACTATCATACTTAATATCTTGTGTAGTTTCCTCAAGAAAAGAAAGGAGTTACTATGTTGAACTTTGAGTTATGGAGAATGATCAAGAGGAGGAAGAAGAAGAGAGATTGAGAAAAGAAGAACTTGCAAGATCAAATGGAAATATCAAGATTCAAATTCATAGATTTGATATTGAAGGTTGCTATGCTTAATTAGAAGTATGAATGGTTCAATCGGAAGCTAAAATGTACAAACCGAAAGTTATATCATCATATATTGAGCCACCCTTCATATAAACATTGAAAATAAGCTTCAGAGGTGATTTTCAAGGGCATTTATCGATCAAGAACTCGATTAGAGACTTATCGATCAATTTATCGAGCAAACACATATTCTGTTATGCTCTGTTCTTCATTCAGCTCTGACATAGGCTCAGTATTTCTCTAATATCTCTTAAACCACAAATCTATTTGAGGTGAAACTTGATTCATATGAAACTAGACTTAGAACACGGTTCATAGACACCAAAATCAACTTCAAAGAGTTTCATATGAGAGAGATATGTTGTTCAAAACATTACAGTAAGGATTAACACCTTTATTCCGACCTTCAGTCACTGTGATGAAGATAACTTTGCAAATACAACAAATTTTGAGGTGGTTATTATTGCATTAGAAAGTAGACTCAAATAGCTTTCTGGGGATAGGTCATTTCCAAAATTTAGAGTTGAATTGGAAGATTCATGATGACTCAAAATTGACCTTCGTTTTGCTTGAATCAGAATTCGAATTTATTGAGGCAAAGACCAGAAGTTCTACATTGATTGATTAAGCTCTTGAGCAACATGCTACTCAAACATGTTATTGAGTGAAAGCACTAGAAGAAATGAGAAAATAAAAAGTCATTATCAGATGT